TTATTTTTACATTTTTCTATCTTTTTCGTCGCGCTGTGATGGCGTCACATACGCGCTTTCGTCGACCGCGCTTTTGTCTACTGCGGTTTTGTGGTGGAACACGCTTGGGGGGAGGGAGGGGAGGGGACTGGTCAAAATTGGATCTAATGCAGATGCCTCACCGGCAGGCTAAAGAGACATTTGCAGCCGGTCTTCTTTCTTGGGTTGGGGTGCTGGTTATCCCACCCCAGAAACATTTCCTCCCTGGTCCCCTTGAGCGATTCGGGCTCAGCAGCACGGCTGTCCCTTTTCCTGGAACTGATTGTCCTCTCTGCCAGCCTGGATCGAGAGCCCCCACCCCACCCCGCCCCAAGAAGCAGCCAGAGAGAGAGGAAGCACAGGGCACCCCACCCCTTCCTCTGGGCCGCCTTCGCCAGGTTCTCAGCAGAAACAGCCACAAAGACGCTTCCCAATTCAGCCGCTCAGGAAGAAGCTCAGCAGCGCATTCAGCTCTGGGAAATAAATATCTCCTGGGCGGGGTGGGGGGAGGGGGGGATGTTAGTAGGCAGCCAAGGACCCATTGGACGGCTAACACAACCGTTGTGGTTTTCGGCATCTTTCGACAGTTGCTTTTTGGCTATTCTGGTTTACCTCCCTAAACTTTTGAAACGCACAAAATAAAACTTGCAATCTATTTTTCTTAAATGGAATAAGCCAACTCTGGACTTTGGTCTGCAGCCTTGGAACACTTCGCACAACCTCTCAACTCAGCCGAACTTAATCTGAGTCCCGTCCAAACTTAATCTTTGGATTTCCTGCTACTTAAACTCCAAATGACAAATAAGATTTCCGCTGTGAAATAATAAAAGGATTGGAGAGATGCAACAGAAATGGACAGAAGAATGAAGGGACAAAGGGCTTCTCATCCCGCCTGGCGCAAGATTGACTCTAGATTCCTGCCAGCCAGGCGCCTTCTCACCTACATGGGGGCTTCGTGGGGGGGGTGATGGCACACAGTATGGAAGCCCCAGGCAGAAAAGGGCCCCTGTTCCCCCTTTTCGGGACCCTTTTGCAATCCAAGGTGCTTTCGTGCCTCTTCTGGACGGACTCCAGGGGGGCCAAGAGACGAGGCCTAGGGGGTCTCACTCATCAGGACTTTCCTTCCACCCACCTGCAAAATGGTTTCTAATTTAGAGGGGGGCAGCCGGGGTGAGGAAATATCGGCCTCTGAATGAAGGAGACCGAATCACACATGGACACGGCAAGAAGGCCATTGCTGGGAAGGCGAAGCCTTTGGTCTTGGATAAGAAGATGGAGGGGCTAGTGAATGGGGAGGGGGCCACGAGAAAGAAGGCCACGGGGGCACTTTGCAGCATCTACTAAAGGCAAGATGGGAACCAGCATCCTTTGGGGCGGGGGAAGTGAAGGAAACGGGCCCTAATACTCTTTGTCCTCCTGCAACAGGAGACGTTGGCAGGCCCCCTTCCCACCCCCACCCCTCCTTGGGCGGCCAGGGGATTCAGCCACAGCTTTTCTCCCTGGGACTGGAGGCTCAGCCGGAAACCTCCCCTGGAGGAGCCCGCTCGAACGAGAGGCTGCGTGGTCCTACCCGAAACAGGCTGAATTTGGAAGTGCTGCAAAGCCCGGGACCTGCACCCCCAACTCCTTCGCGGGGGGACAATCCATTGGGGCGCCACACGCTGCATCGTTGAATTATACCAAAAATACTCTGGGTAGAAAAGGGAGAGTCCAGGCAGCAAGCCGAGGGCCGGCTGAGTCAGAGGGAGGGGGGGCTGGCCCGCCGTGGCCCCTCACTGGTGCATGTGAGTGCGGTCGTCGGGGCGCTTGATGTGGATCCGGCGGACCCTCTCGATGCGCTCGCGCTCCTCGTCCTCCTCCAGGTGGTGGGAGCGCCCGGCCGCCCCGCCGGTGGCCTCCAGCAGCGCATTGTCGGGACCCCGGCCGTCCTGGGCCTCGTAGAGGAGGATGTTCAAGGTTTCCTCGTAGATCCGGGCTTCCGGGAATTCAACCTGGAGATGCCGGAGGGGAGGGGAGGGAGAGTTAGACTGATCCCATGCGCGACCCTTTCTGAGCGGGGTGGAGAGGTGGGGGGGGGGTACAGAGAGAGCCAGCCACTCACTTTGGTCTGCTTCTTCTCGGTGGCGTACACAATCGAGGTGCAGCACACTTCCGCGATCTTCCGTCCCTGCCCGTAAAACGACCAGCAGCAAATCTCGTCCCCCAGGACGTCTTTGATGAAGAGGACCCTCCCGTTGAAGCGCAGGGAGAGTTTGTCAAACAGCTCGATGTTCTTCAGCATGTTGTCATCCGAATTGCTGGGGGGGGGGAAAGGGGGGGCAATGGACCCAGGAAGGGAGAGATGGGGCAATGCTCTTAATTAGCCAGTTTCCCCCCACCCCACCCCCGGCTGTTTCCCTCCCCTTCTTTCCGCCTCTCAGGGAAACTAGTGCTGAAAATACTTTACCTGGTGTAGGAATATTTGTTGTTACTTCGGTTGTAGAGCAATTTAACCGCCGGCTGCAAAAACACAAAAAGCAAATAGGGGCCTTTCGTTCCATGGGTCACCACTAGGCGTTGCAGGCCATCGGGCCCCCTACAGGGATGGTTGGAACTGCAGAGCTAAACATCTGGAGACCAGCTGTGTCCCGTCCCCCTCCCAGAGTTGGCCACCATAAAGATCTGGTGGAAGGTGAAGCCCCCTTGAGGGGGGGGGGGGATGACCATTTCTCTCCCAGCTCCAAGGGGAGAGGGAGGCACTAAGAATGACCGAAAGACCCCCACCCCCAGCTTCAGAATCCCCCTTTAAACGCAAGGCCTTTTACCTTGTTGGACGTGGCTATGAGCTTCTGCTCCTCCTTGGAGGATGTGATGATGGGCACTTTGCAAAAAGGCTCGTAGACATCTTTGTTCTGGGCAAAGAAGAGGACAGAGATTCGAACCCTCACCACCCTCCAGGCCTTCCGCAAAGCCCTTAAAACCTGGCTGTTCCGACAGGCCTGGGGCTAAAGAGCTGTTGCCCCCGTCTCGAATGGTATGACTGTTGTGTGTTTTTAAATTATGTATTGTTATGTTTCGTCTTTTATTTCCTGTCTGTACCCCACTTCCCTGATTTGAATTGTGAGCCGCCCTGAGTCCCCTTCGGGGGGAAAGGGCGGCATATAAATATAATAAAATCCAATCCAAAATCCAAATCCAAGGGAAGCAAGAAGATCAGGCAGAAGCCGGCCTTTGCTTACGGCAGACCAGTCCTCCCTTCTCTGGCTTGCAAAGGCTTTCCTTTAGAACAGTGTTCTCCAACCTTAGCCACATTTAAGATGGGTGGACTTCAACTCCCAGGATTCCCCAGCCAGCAACACTTAACAACGCTGGAATCCTGGGAGTTGAAGTCCACCCATCTTAAAATGGCTAAGGATTGTGGAGACGGTGCCTTAGAAGCATCAATAGCCCTATAGAAGGGGGGGGTCCAGCCCCACAGCCTCCCTCCATCCCCCAGGTGGGAGCCTCATCCACCCCCCCGTCAGAGGGGTCCACGGGGGGGCAGCAGCACCCATCCAGAGCACCCACAGCAGGTTTACCTGAAGGGCAGCCTGGCCCTCGTCCACCAAGCCTTGAACCAGGTAGTACTTGGCCTCGGCCAGCAGCTCCTCAATCTCCCGCCGGCTCTCCGGGAGGGGCACGGCGCCATCGCGCAGGTAGTTTAAAATGGTTCCAAAATGCTTGCCACACCTGTCTATCAAAATCCAGCCTAGGAAGGGAGACAGGAAACGCAGCCAGGGTTGGAGGGGATGCAGAGGCCGAGCTAAGCCTCATCCTAACCCTGGCTTCCTTCCCTCTGAGCAGTTCGGTGTCATCACGCAGCCTCAAAACAAGCTCAAGAGAGGCCAGCATCTCGTACAAGGCCGCCAGTTTCCATGAGCTCAACGTCTTTGTGGGCAGAGAGACAAGAATGTGAAGGGGGGGAGAGGATTAAAAAAATGCGCACGGAGGCCGCTGGTTTTTGACAAATAAGGGCGATGCTGGCTGAAGAATGCAGAGGCCGTCTTAAATTAAGGGGACTTAAAACAGCTAAAACCGGATTAAGCTCTCAGTTCTGCAAGCTGTGGATTTCATTCTAATGGAAACATTTTGGATGTTTTTTGGAGTCAAACTGTAGTAACCTTTTGATATCTGGATCCGTTCATCTCCTTACTTTAAAATCCTCAAATGCGGTTGGAAAAAAACAAACCCTGTTTTAATGGGAGATTCTCTCGTCCCAGATCCCCTCATCAAACTTTCCAAATGCTCCTAGCAAATCAAGCGCTTCCTTTGAGACGGTGCAAAGGTATCATCCTCAGGTGGGCTGCCTCTAGTTGGCTTTTACCACAAAGTAAAGCTTCAAACACCCGTCTCCTCTTGGTTCTCACGGCTGCAGGTGGGTGGGAAGACCCCCCCACCCTCACCCACCGCCGAGACTTCCTTGTGGCTGTGCCACTCAAGAATCGACTCTACTTTGCAAAGACAAAAAGCTGCTTTTCCTCCCAACAGAGACTCAAAAATCACATTGCGTGGGCTGTTGGATATGAGATGGGCGGCAATATTTCACAATAAAATAAATAAATTCGGAACACGATTTGGCAGCTCTTCCTCCTTCCTGTTATTCATATCCAGGAGGAACCGCAGGAGAGGTTTGGTCACAAGAACCAGACCTCCCTGCTGGAAAGCCCACCAAGGGCTCCTCGTTCAACACGGAGCCAATGGCAGCACATGCGTCACGGGCTCCGCTTCCGGGGGGACCCAGGGGCAGAGAAGCCTGACCCCCCCAGGAGCATCCCGAGGCTCAGAGCGATTCCGAACCCTGGCAGGCCGTTCTTGACCCCAAAGCCCCCCCTCTCTTGCAGAGTCGATCCTAAACACACACACCCTGGGTTTCTTTACCTTCGCTGTCGGTGAGGACCTCCATGCGGCCACTGAACATGGCCTTCAGCATGGTGTCCTGCTTGGTCAGCGTCTGCATGGTGGTGTAGTACAAGGCCCCGCCGATGTTCAGCTTCACATACTTGGAGCTGGGGCTGCCGCTTTTGAAGGACGTGGTGCGGGTCGTGGCTGCTGGCACGGCGGTGCTCACCACTGTCTCTCCAGACATCTCTTCCTGCAAGGGCATGGGGGGCCTTCAGGGAGAGCCCAGCGCATCCCCAGGGGCAGGAGAGGCGCTCTGGAGGGGGGACGGGGGTGTCCAGGGGCCGTTCTTGGGCCTCCCCAAGGGGCAGAGTGGGCCAAGGGCCCTTCTCCTGAAAGAGCCCTTCAGAGGGGAGTCTCTGTCGCTGGAGGGGAAACCCCTCCATGGGGGCAAGGGCCCCCGGCCCCCTCCCTCTGAGGCTGGGGTCTCCCAAGGTGCCAGGAATTCTGGGAAGTCCACAAGTCTTAGGGCTGCCTACTTGGGAGACCCCAGACTCAGAGGGAGGGGCCAGAGGGCAGCCCCCCCCCCTCCTGAGACCCAGCCAGGCCAGCCGAGGTCTGGGCTCCCCACCGACCTGCCCCCAGGAGCGGCCTTTCCCCCCCCCCCTTTCCCCCTCCCTCCTCTTCCTCTTTTGTTCCCCAGCTTGGACTTTGGGCCTCGGATCTCTGGACGGCCGTTAAGCGAGTCAAGGTTTCCCCCGGGCGCAGAGGCGAAGCAACGCGCCAGAAGCCCCCCCCCCACGGTTTCCTCGCCTGCCATTCATTCCCCCCCACCCGCCTTCCCGGCTCTCTGGGCGGAGGGGCCGCCGGAGGCTCTCGGGGCCGACGGGAAGGGGGCGGCGGCGGAGACCCCCGAGAAGGCTGGGCGGGAGGGAGGAAGCAGGAAGCGGCCCCGGCTGGGAGAGGCGGCCACCGCGGAGGGAAACGCCGGGAAAAGCGATCGACTCCCGCCCTGCCCGCCCCTTCCCCGCGGAGACCGACTAGATGTCCTCTGGTGGACCTCGCTGATCCCCCCCAGCCCCCCCACTTCGTCCTTCTTCCCCTCCCCCCGGATGTCCCCCCCGCCACCATCGGCCCACCGTCCCCGCCGGGAGGGGAGACCCCCGAGAGGGAGGAGAGGGGGCGACGAGGACCCCCCTCCCCCCACCGGCGCCCCCTCCTCACCATGAACAGCCCGCGCGAGGCTCCCTCCTCCCCTCGGCCAGACGGTCCTCCTGGGCGGGGCAGGGAGCGGATGACGCAGGCCGTGGGGGCGGAGCCTCGCCCCGCCCCTCCTCTACGCAGGTCGGAACTCTGCGTCGCGGGGCGCGTTCCCGGGCGGGCCTCGGCCTCCGAAGGCGCTTCCGCTGCAACGGCCGGAAGCGGTCCTGCCGGCGTGGCTCTATGGTCCTCGGAGTTCCGCGGGTGCTCGGTGGGGGTAGGCTGAGGGATGGGGGGGCGCGCCGTCGAGGGCCTCGACCCGTAGCAGCCCCGCAGCCCGGCCGGAGCCCCCTCGCCCTTCGCAGGCCTCGCCGCCAACACGCCCCCTGCCAGGTAGGACAGGCTGCGGGGGGGGGCTCTCGCGGGGGAGGGCTCCGTCCCCGCTCTGGGCCGCCCCCAAAGGGGACCCGGCTCGCTCTGGGCGCCACGGGGCCCTCCTGGGGCCTGGTCTCCGGCGGCCCCCGCAGAAGGGCTTTCGGGGGGCCCAGGAGACCCCTTTCCCCAACTGGGCTGGTGGGGGGAGGGAGTGGCANGATAGATAGATAGATAGATAGATAGATAGATAGATAGATAGATAGATATAGATATATGTATAGATATAGATATAGATATAGAGATAGAGATAGAGATAGAGATAGAGATAGAGATAGAGATAGAGATAGAGATATAGAGATATAGAGATATAGAGATATAGATATAGATACAGATACAGATATAGATATAGATATAGATATAGATATGTGTGTGTGTGTATGTATATATGTGTGTGTGTGTATATTTGTGTGTTTAAAAGCATTAAAAAAGAAGGCACAGAATATAATAATACAGAGAGTTTGCTTTTAGTTTGGAATTGAATTAAGACTTATTAAAAAAATACAAGAGAGTTAAAGAGTTAAACTAAAGCAATATATTTTTTAAAGATAAGACAAAAATGATAATGAGATTGGAGAACTGTATATAACCCAGGAAAGACAGTGATTTCAAATTTTCCAAATCAGCAAGATGCAAATTGGAGAGACAATATGGCTCTTTCTCTTTTTAGCTTAATTAGAGGAAGAAATGCAGAGCACGCGGAAGATATGAGGCGCTGTGTTTTTCTTTTTTCTTTTTTTTACATATGGTGGAGTTCTAGGTCCTTAGACAATCTGTTTTTATAAACAAATAACACATCCATTTACATAACTACTCCGCATCTCTAATGCAAATCATCTGCCTTAGTGTTGCTCTGTAGAGAATAATATTCCATATTAATTACCACGCATATTTACTAAATAAATTCACTCACTGTAGCTAGCAGTCCACAAAAAATGCTTTGCTAAATGGGCCAACTAACAGACTCAAGCTGTGGTTTCTGTGATTGGAGCAGTTTCTCTCAGCTATGTCATCTACCCAGCCAAAAGTCATATGTCAAAAGTGACATACCACACTGCAATCTTTCCCTCTACTCCTTTTTGGGATGCATAACAATAACAGGGTATTTTTGCTCTTTTTAAACATGAAAACTAATTGATATGGAAAGTAATATATAAATTCTTTAAATAAACAAACATATAAATAAAGGAGACTCGGGAGACATTCTGTTGTAGTACGTGACTTCCACAGAAAATTTGTGCTGATAGATTGTTGTGGCCCGGCAGGAGCCGTTGGAGCTGCCACCAGACTCCGACAGCGAGGGGCCCTATGAGTCGGCCCTGGACAATGTGGAGGACCCTGGACAGCATTCCGACTCTGAGCAGGGCGCAGAAAGACTGGTTGGCCACCAGGTGGCGCCTGAACCTTGTATCAGTGGGGATGAGACAAGAGAGAGTGATCCAGAAACCAACTGTGAGTTGTTGCGGGATGCACGCCGTCGAAGGGCTACTTGGCATCAAGAACAACTATGTAATTACAGGAGGTAATTACACTCAGTTG